AGTGAGTCCAGCAGCGACAGCAGCCAGGTAGCACTCAGGTAAGTGGACAACTCAGATAGGCGCAAGGCGGAGCTCTATTGAAACACTGCTCAAGAGAACAACAGCATTATACCTGCCCACACACTGTTCAATGTAGCCCTGTACCTCACCTGCCACTGGGCAGGGCCACACTGATCTCTCAGCATTTTGTTCTTCTTAATTCAGCGTCTTTTGAATCATCGCTGAAGTAAGCAGTGCCATTGTACAAGAAACTTCACTTTCAGTTAAGCAGAACTGTTAGTGCAAACACCTGTTCTGCTGTACCAAAGCAGTGTTTTGGTCGGTTTTCTTTTGAGCCTGGAGACGATGCTTGTGTACCCTGTTTGTCCGTTGTCTGGCAGTTGTTTGGCACCTACAATCTTCCGCGTCCTTTGTTGCTTTTTCCAATTATTACCAGTTAACCACTCTTGAGACTTTGATTTTGGTTTTTCATGGGGCCAACTTCCACAACCGTTTGCAGACAGAAAGGTGCTGAGATTTTGATCAAGATCGAAATGTTTTAACCATCAACTGCCTTGAAGCCCCTTTTCAGAGTATGTATACATTTGCCCTACGTTGTTCTGTCCGTTCAGATTAAGATTAACAACAACCAGACAGAACCATGCATCATAGTGCCATTTGGCAGCAGAAGAAAAATGTGCCTTGGAGAAGAAGCTTTGTTTCAGAAAAGTCTCAGCAATAACCTGAGTCGATCGCCCATCTCTTGAATGTACACAAATATGATTCCTCCTCAAAAAGCAATCCTCTTGTTAAGCTAATACTGCTAAATGATTGGAAAATGGAGTCTATGTTTTGGCGACGTCACCACGGTGGAAGAAGGGCAATAGTTTTTGTAACAGTCGCTGTACAGGCAAAGAGCTGTTGCAATGCCATTGCCTGCAACACTTCACTGCGACAGACTACGAGTTGTTGCATCATCGTGTCGACTCTTCTTTCGCTTGACAATCACTCACTACCCAAAACAGTAACTTCAGTCATCACTTGGCCACTGCCATTCACTCAGTCACCTCAACAACCTCTGCTTTCTGTAGGCTTCCTTTCTAGGTAAGTCTTTTGCCACGCTGTTCTTTTTAGAATTCTTGTTCTTGTGACAGTCATTTGCAGTGATTTCAGAAAGCTGCTGACTGGCTAGATCCATTTCCACAGCTTCAATGTAAGCTGATCCAGTCGTGACAGATCACTGCAATGTGATTTGTTTACAGTGCACCAAGCAAACAAATCTTTTCTCTACTTTACAAACTACAAACTTTTTTTTCACATTATCTTTCTCTAGACTTCACCGAAGCTTCACAATGGCTCGTACCAAGAAGACTGCTCGCAAGTTTACCGGTTTCAAAGTAGCCCAGCAGAATTCGGGTAAGTGGTCAAAGAAGAGCTCAGTTCAATCCTTGCACTTGCATCCTACTTTTCACCTGATTTGTCTTTGTCAATATAAGCCGCCAAGCCTGTTCGTATGTCAGCCCAGGTGACTGGTAGCGTGAAGAAGCCCATTCGATACCGTCCTGGAACTGTGGCCCTTTGTGACATCCGCCATTACCAGAAGTCCATCAAACTGCTTCTCCCCAAGCTCCCATTCAAGCGTCTGGTGATGGAGATCGCCCAAGACATCAGCGTTAAAGTGCGCTTTCAAGACATTGCCATTAATGGTTTGCAGGTAAAAAAGGCGCACAATACGGCAAATGCTGCGCCCAAAANACAAACGCGTCACTCTCCAGCTTAAAGACATTAAGCTGGCTCGTCGCATTCGAGGAGAGTGAGTGAGCGAGTGCCCAGGTGCTTCTATCACTTTTTCTTCTCATTGTCTTAAGCAACTCGAAACAAGACCGCATCCTTTTCACTCTTTGTTATTAACTTACATTGTAAAATTGTCTAGGTATACCAAACACCAAACTACATCAGCACAAACAATTCCGTACAGCGTCTAATCTAAACTAGATGTACACTTACCAGTATATAACACAACTTCCTAAAATTACAACTAGAGCCCCATTTTTTCAATACGCGTTTTGTTACTC